CATGGTGCACAGACATGCATGCAGGAAAACACCCTTATGCATAAAGTGGATAATAATAAATATTTCATAACCAGAAATTGTTAATTAATCCTGATGTTGTTTCTTTTGTCTTACTGTATGGCCCAAGCTGATCTGCAATCTGAGACCATCCTGCCACACCATTATTCTTGGTCTCTCAATTTTTACCTCAAAAAACGTTTTCACTTCTTAAGGGAACCAAAGTATGTTCAAAATACATCTGGGAGGGCTGGAAGAAATGGCTCAGCAGTTAAGAGCACTGGCTGCTCTTCCAGAAGACCCAGGTTCGATTCCCAGCACCCACACGGCAGTTCACAACTGTCTGTAATTCAGTTCCAGGGGATCCAATGCCCTCTTCTGACAGCACAGAGTGAATGTGACACACAGACACACGTAAAGACAAACCACCCATACACATAAAGATCTTTTTTTTTTTAAGTCTCACTACATAGTCCTAGCTAGTCTCAAACTCACACTCTTTCTGCCTCTGGCACCGAGTACTGGGAATTGTAGTGGTGCCACCAACATGCCGAGCCTAGAAACAATTTGGATTACCAGTTCTGAAAATTCAAACAAGAAACTACTTATAATTTCGGGCACAAATTCAAACTTCAGTAAATATTAATTAAAATGTCTCTGCCTCTCAAATATTCCCTCTTGAAAAAAAAAAAAAGATACACTTGGATACATTTACATTCTTGCAGATTTTTATAGCAAGATTTTGACCTTTAAGCTTTTAGACTGGTATTTTAAAAGCTAAAAATAGAACCCAAAATTATACAATGAAGTGTGCCCTCCAATCTACTAAGCAAAAATCAAAATACCCAGCAGTGGAACGCAAACGAAAGCACCGAGTGTATTCAAGACACCGAAAGTCACAACAGCATCCTTTCTCCCCACTTCAATAGAACCCTTCCTATTTCCTCAGCAATTTAACAGGAAAATGAATGTTTTAACCTTGAGTAGTGGCGCATCTTTTCTTCAACAAGATCTGACTTTTGCATTAAGTCTGTAGCAGCCATGGTAGTTACACAAAAATGCCATATTTAAAAGCCAAAAGATCCATTTTGTGAACCGAGCAGTGGAAGGCAGAGGGAGGTGGATCTCTGTGAGTTCAAGGCCAGCCTGGACTACAGAGCGAGTTCCAGGACAGCCAGGGCTACACAGAGAAACCCTGTCTCGAAAAACAAACAAAACAAACAAAAAAATATTCATTTTGTGAAAGAATTTTTATTTTATAAATTTTATTATTTAAAACCTGCAAATAAATAAAAGCATCACACACCAAAATAAGAGGATCCAAAGTCTACAAAACTCAATGAACTTCTGTACAGTTGAAATTCACATTTTGGAACATAAGCTTTTGGTTTTGGTGGTAGATAAGTACATAAAATACATTCAATACTGAAAGTATAAAGTTTAATGTGAGGTTCTACAACTTCTGTTCTGATTGTTTTCCCCCACGAGACAGGGTTTGTCTGTGTAGTCCTGGCTGTCCTGGAACTCACTCTGTAGATCAGACTGGTCTCAAACTCAGACATCCACCTGCCTCTGCCTCCTAAGTGCTGAGATTAAAGGCATGGGCTGCCACCACCTGCCCTTAATTCTTTTTTATTTTTATTTTATGTGTATGGGTATTTTACCTGCATGTATGTCTGTGCACCACATGTATGTCTCATGACCAGAATAGGGCACTGGATCCCTGGAACCAGAGTTACAGACAGTTCTGAACCAACATGTAGATGATAGGAATCAAACCCAGGTCCATTGGAGAGCAGCCAGTGCTCTTAACAGTTGAGCTGTCTCTCCAGCCCCAATGTGAGTAAAGGGGGGAAATGTTTTCAAATAATTAAAGTCAGAGATCAGTCCTCACAATGTCTCCTGTTTTCCTTGGTAGTAGCGAATAACAGAGTTTTGTTTGCAAGTGTATATGTGAGTGGTGTGCGTGTGTGTATGCACATTTACATAGGTTGGTGTATGTGTGTCCAAGCACACATGCACATACGTGTATGTACACATAAAGGCCAGAAGTTGATGTTCCTCATCATTCTCCACCTTATTCTCAGGCAGGGTCTCTCAGTTGATCCCAGAGCTCTCTGATTCAGCTTGTCTAGCTAGCCTGCTTGTTAATCCAGCTAGCCAACTTGTTCCAGAGGACCCATCTCTGCCTCCAAAGCACTGAGGTTGCCAGCCCAGCATTTAAAGTGTGCTGTGGAGCCACACTACAATCCCCGATGATCACACAGTCAGTGCTTTACCTGAGGGGTCTCCTCAGCCCAGGATTACACAGTCAGTGCTCTACCCACTGAGCCGTCTCCTCAGCCCAGGTAACAGGGCTTTTGCTGTCCAGACTAACCTCCAATTCACAATCCTCCTGCCTCACCTTCCTAAGTAGACGGACATACAGACATCAGTCACCCATTCCCACAGCTCACAGATGCTCTATTTTGATGAGTTCCAATATAGCATTCCAAATTCACATATACTCATAAATCAACTTTATCCAATGTATACATGATGTGGATATTAATGAAATATCCTATTGAGATACGGCACAAATCTACACCACGGCAGAGTCACAGAAAAACTACAGTTATCATGTGGACAACGGGCTGTCGACTTCTTGGCATTGTTCTCGGTTGTAAATCTAATCTAGGCCCCAAAATGAACACAAGATGCTGGAGCTCTTGGAACCTTGTATCCGTTCCCAGTCTGCAGCTGACAATAATTGGAATGCCAGAGGCTAGAAATCTTAGAAATCTCTATCTACATAAAATAGGGCAAACATTACAATCAAGTTGAACAAAAAAGTTCACCATATCACACCATAACAACCTGGTATCGCTAATTCTTTTATATTCAATGGTTACCTAAAAAAAGAAAGTGTCACATGACATGTGGCCAACATCAAAGGCTAGAAGCCTACCCAAAGTACTTCCCTCTACTTGCCTTTTTTTTTTTTTCCAAATCAAATTTCTCTGAAACCAGGGAAACACAAAGCTACATTCTCTAAAAAGAAAAATACTGTGGTTACTTCCTGTGAAGATAAACAGCTGACCGCTGAGGAGAAGGTTCAGTGGAGAAAGTGTTTGCCACACAAGCCTAAGGAACTGAGTTTGATTCCCCCAAACATATGTTTAAAGAAAAACAAACAAAACGGGTGTACCGCCATACCTATAATCCGAGCGCCGGGGAGACAGAGCTGGGAGGATCCCTAGGTACTGCTGGCCAGCCAGTCTAGCCAAATCAGCAAGCCTGGGGTTCAGTACGAGACTGTCTCAAAAGACAAGGTGGGAAGCCACGGAGGAAGACACCCAATGACTATCTCTGGCCTTCACACACACACACACACACACACACACAGAGAGAGCTGAATCACCTAAGCAAAAATTTCACAATAAGCAAAACTTTCCAAGGTATTATTTTAAAATTACTTCATTTGCTGCCCAGCCAGGAAAGCTAACCTCCAAGGCTGCCCTTAAACAATCTATTTGGGTCACCAGGGTCCTTCAATTCAACCAGAACATAAAACTGTCAAAATCTAATGGTAACAACATTAACAAAATCAAGCGAGGGGCTGTGTTTGTTTACTAGCTTCAAAGAAAATTTACACCTAGAAAAGCACAAAGACAACGTGTCCTTAAATTTCCTCTAAGTTCCCTCATTCTACACTTCTCCTTCCTCTTCTTGGAGAGGAGAATGGGATGCCAAATTAACAGTCAGAAGGCTCAGAACAGTTAGTTCCCGGAGGGTGCAAGAATTTACAATGCACGCTTGGCAGGGAGCTCGGTGGGCGCGCGCACACACACACACACACACACACACACACACACACACACACACACACACACACGCACATCAATGCTCAGAAGAAGCTTTCAAAAAATGTAACCGAAGTTTTAAGGTCTCATTTAGGCCTAAGGGCAGCCCTCTCCAATTCACTGTAAAGCACAGCCCCATTCTCCAAACCCAGAGTTTCCTATAACGCTCGAAAAGGAAAGAGCACAGATTCTGGACCCCCCCTCAGTACTGCCGCCTCTCACGTGGAAGGCAGGCCAGCCCATGTGAATCCAAATGCCACCACATCAGTTTTGTGACAGATCCACTGGGAGCATCCGACTGTGATCCAGGGCCCTCCAGGCCGCGGGAAGAGAAACATAAATGCAATCTTGGGGCCCTCCTACTTCCGTTCTCAAAACAGAAATGCTGGCTTGCCTAGCCCCCTCGGCCCCGCACCTCTTCCAAAAGCTTCCACGGAAAGCAGAGCAGACCGTGGCGGTCAAGGGTGGCTAGAATAGGTGGTTCAAACCCCCCCCCCGCCCCCAGCCCAGCCCCTCCGTCGAATCCGCCGCCAACGCTTCCCTGGGGGCCCCTGCCCCCTCCTCCCGGGCCGAGGGCCGCCGAGAAGCGGGAAGAGGAACTAAGTGACCCGCAAGGATGCCCAGAAAGCTGGCGCGCAGAGGGGGTGGGGAGGTGGGCGCCGACGCGCGGCGGAAGGAAGGGGAGAGGAAGAGCGCCAGAGAGGGACGCGACTGTAGCGATGCGGCGGTGCCCGGGCTCCGGGAGAGGCGGCGGCGGCGGCGAGCCAAGGCTGAAGAGGCGACGTCCCCTCTCGGCCACGCCTCGGACTGCGGGCGAAAGGCTGCAGCCCGGCCCGTCGGAAGGCGCGGACTGAGGGCCCGCGATGCTCCCGGAGCTGGCTGGGTGTTCCCGGGGTCGGCGGTGCACCCAGGATCTGCGGGTGTACCCGGGAGCCGACGATGCACCCGGGGTCGGTGGGTGCTGCCGGGGGGCTGGTGGTGGGTGCTGCCGGGGTCAGTCGGTGCTCCCGCAGCCAGCGGGTACTATCGTGGCCAGCCAGCAAATGCTCCCCGGGTGGACGAGCGATCCCGGGGTCAGCGGCCGCTCCCCCAAGAGCCGCTCTCACGCCCCGCCGCCGGGACAGGCGGCTCCGGGAGGCACCGGGCGACACGGCGGGTTACCTGAAGCGGGGCGAGTCCTTCAGACACTCCTCGAAATCCACCGTCATCTTCATCTTGCCTCTGCCTGGCCTCGCAGGCGACGCCGGAGGAGCCGCGGGAGTCGCGGGAGCTGCGGGAGCGGGAGAGCGGAGGCGCCGGGGATCCGGGCGGCGTCGGCGAGCGCTCGGCCGCCTCTAGCGCTGCGCGGAGCTGCGGAGGGCGCCGCGCACCCTGGGCATAGCAGCCGCGGAGACTGCAACGGCTCGGCAGGCCCAGGCCGCCTCTTCCTCCGCCCCAGTTGAGAGCCGGCCGGGGAAAACGCCCCGGAGTGACAGCCGCGGCCAGCCAGCCACCGAGCCGCGGCCACGGGAGGGGCTTCCGGCAGCACCGCCCGCGGGAGGTGCACGGCCGCGGCGACAGCCAACCGCGGCGCGCGGGCGTCGTTAGGCGGGATGCACGGGTTGCTAGGAGGCCGGCCACGCAGGCGCCCTGGGAAGGAAGGAAGTCACGTGGCCTGCCTCCCTCCCCCCCCCGCCCCGCCCCCTTCACCACCACCACCGCCGCCGCCGCCCCCCCAGCCCTCCCTCGGGTCTAAAAGGAAGATGTACTCTTTAAAGCAGCTTTGGCAGCAATCTGTAGAGGTCTGGGAGCAGAAATTATAACAAGGAAGAGACTAGACTAAGCCTTTCAGTTTAGAGAAACTGAGGCCAGGGGAGGCGTGAGGGCACCTTTGATAACCTTTCACATTTTTGGTCCACCGCTTAATAATTTGGAAATTGCTCCTTGCATCTTTCCATATTACACTTTTTCGTATAATCAGGGACCGTTTCCTGGAAGTACAATGTCTAAACTATATTCAAATCGCCCTTAAAAGTATAGGTGGATCTGTAAAAATGCATAGGTTGGATGTTTTAACCCAGTGGCTATGAACACCTGGAGGCAGCTTCTAGACTTATCTCCTGGCTTTCCCACGTTACACAGCGCTGATCTGATAGAACTGTCCAGTTGACTCGGTGTCGCACAGTAATCAGCCAGTAAGTGTTGGCTGTCATAATTACACTACTGTCTTCTTTTCAGGTCAGTCAAAGGTCAAGCCTCAGCTGGCTCACTTTTGCTATCTGAAGTCTATATAACCTTTGACCATTTGCCTGTGTTAGAGAGTGATGGTGTGCTAGCTTTCATAACCTCCAGTCACACTTTGATCTCTTCCCACACTTAGAAAGTACCAGCATAATTCTGAAACTTTTCAATGAACACACAAGCATTGTATATGTTTCTTCTTTCATTAGAAATTTTATTTCTTTTTTTTAATTGAATTATATATCTCTATGATCTGCAGAGGTCTCCTTGATCTACATAGTCCTCTTGATAGCTATAAATTACTGATTGTTAAACATTCAGTGCCCTCAAATATGTCAACTGGTCAGGCTAATCTTTTCGGGAATTGTAATTTTACCGAGAATTAGCCGTTTATACTACATTTGATTGCATTGATGATTTGTGGCAGCTACTCAGCATATACAGTAAGTTACGGGTCAATGTTTCATCATCCTGCTGCAAGCCCCTTCAAAGTGGTATTTGGAGGGTCAAATTAAATTCAGCTGCACAAGATCTTAAGTATGAGGCTAGCCTGGGCTACATAGTGACATCCTATCTCAAAAAAAACATAGACATAGTAACAAAAACCCTGTGATACTGGCACAAAACAAGACAGATAGAGCAATGGAATAGCACCGAGACCCAGAATGAAAACCCCATACCTACACTCCCAAATCTTTGACAGAGATGTCAAAAACATACTGGGATAAAAGGACAGCCTCTTCAATGGGGGTGCTGAGGAACCTGGACATCTACATATAAAATAATGACAGTAGGTCTGGAGCAATGTCCATAAGCTGCTTACCATACAATAACAAGGACCTGTATTTGGATCTCCAGCACCCATGTGAAAAGCTGAATATGGTGGCGTGTGCTGTCATCCTAGGGCTGGTGGGTGGAGAAAGGCTGAACTGGGGAGCTCCAGGCTCACTGATAACTTATCTCCAAATATAAGATGAGGAGCAGATGGGAGGACATCCAACATTTACCTCTAGCACACAGGCATGAACACACACATGAGCACAGACACATACATGCATGTACCACACACATACCCCAAACATCTTCTACATGGCATTTTTTATATTTAAAAATTAAAAATAACAGCAAAGTAAAGAGACAGCTTATAGAATGGGAAATACTTTTGTTAATTATACACGTGACAAGCATTAATATCTAGAATCTATAACAAGAAGGGGTGAACTCGAGGGTCAGCATAACGGCTCAACAAGAAAAGGCTCTTGCCACCAAACCTGAGCACAATCCTGGATCCCTTAGTGGAAAGAAAGCACCAGTTACCAAGGCTGTGTGTGCTCTGACCTGCACACATGCTGTCGAAAGTTCATGTCCATATTCACATACTCGTGTGCATTACACACACACACACACACACACACACACACACACACACACACACACGCATACTAATTTGTATTTCCTTTTGAATGTATGTGTGCTTGTCATGTGAGTATATACTGCCTGTGGTCTGGTATCCTCAATGACCAGATGAGAGGGTCAGATCCACCAAAGCTGGAGTTACAGGCAGTTGTGGGCTGCTTGATGTGGGTCCTCTAAAAAAACAAGTGCTCTTAAGCATTGAACCATCTCGTTAGCCACCACACACACACACACACACACACACACACACACACACACACACACACTTTTAAAAAAAGAAATGCAAATTTTAATTAAAGGGGGGAAAAAACCTCCAAAAGTTAAACACAAAAAAATTTTTAAAGTTCTATTAATAAACAGGATAATGGATCGAATAGACATTCCACAAAGGGAGAAATAAAATGAAAAAGGTGCTCAGTAGCCTTAGTCATCAAGAAAATGCAAATCAAAACTGCACTGAGATTATTTTTCACCAGAGTCAGAATGATGATCAACAAAACCAACCACACGGGGTGTGGTGGCTCACAGCTTAAATCCCAGCACTCGGCACACTGATCTCTGTGAGATTGAGGCCAGCCTGGTCTGCAGAGTGAATTCCAGGACAGCCAGGGCTACACAGAGAAACCCTGTCTCAAAAAAAAAAAAAAGGAAGAAAGGAAGGAAGGAAGGAAGGAAGGAAGGAAGGAAGGAAGGAAGGAAGGAAGAAAAAACCAACTGCAACAAATGCTCCTGAGGATCTGGAAGGAGAGGAACCTCATACACCACTGGTGGAAATGTAAACTTGGTGCAGTCACCATAGAAGTCATTATGGAGGTCCTCAAATACTAACTCAGAGCTGTCATATGACCATAAAATGATATGATATACCTATACCACTCCGAGGTATACATACGAAAAAGTCTAAGTAAACACACCACAGAGGGACCTGCACACCCGTGTTTACTGAGGCACTGCTTAACACAGCCAAGATAATGGAACTAACCTCGAGGTCTGCCAACTGATGAATAGAGGGTAAGGAAGAAATTACGATATTTGCCTGTCAATGGATGGCACCTGAGATCACTATATTAAAAATGAAGTTAGACTGTACCTATCACCTTATACAATAACTAACTCTGAAGGAATCAAAGACCTCAATGTGAAACCTGAAACCATTAGAGGAAAACATAGAGACATAGGCAGCACCTACATGATACAGGTGTAGACAGGGGGACTTCACTAAACTGAAAAAAAAAAATGTTTGCACAGCTAAGGAAGGAAAAAAATCGATCAAGTATCGAGGAAACCCGCAAATAGGAGCCAATCTTCGCCATCTGTCAGCTATGCATCTGACAGAGGGTTAATATCCAGACCGTGTGAAGGACTCAAAAAACAAAGAATTAAGAAAACAAACACCCCAATTTAAAAAAAGTAGACTATGGATCTGAACAGAGAATTCTCAAAGGAAGAAATAAAAATGGTTAAGAAATATTCCCCAAAAAAAAATTATTCATCAGCCTTAGCAATCAGGGAAGTGCAAATCAAAATAACTTTGAGATTTGATCTTGCCCCAGTCAGAATGGCTAAGATCAACAAAACAACAACCAATGTAGGGAAGGATATGGAGAAAGGGGAACTCTGACTCACGCTGGGGAGCTTGCAAACCTGTGCAAGCCACTCTGGAAATCAGTGTGGAAAAGTCTCAAAACGCTAAAAATAAATCTACCATATGCCCAGCGGTAACATCCTTGGCTTGTGCCCAAAGGACTCGACATCCTACTCTGCAGAGACTTACTCAGGGGTATAGAACTGAAATAATCAGATTCATAAGGACAAATACAATGTTTTCTTTCATAGGCAGAATCTACATTTAAATGTATATGTTCATCTAACTGTTCCTAGATATTGTATATGAAGAGGGCACAGTAAAGAAACCACAAAAATGGCCACTCCGTGATTAGGGGGGAAATATCCAGAGGCATCTGGAAGAGTCCAGAGCAGAGAGAAAGCAGCAGAGTGGACATGGCCAGGGCTATCTGCAGGAGAAGGGAGAATGGCAGAGGAAGCGGGAACTTCGAAGGTTTCTGGGAAGAGAGAAGCCTGTGAGGGAAAGCAGGCCTGGGAGTTTAGGGAAGGTGCAGAGGTGAGAGGAGCCTGGATGCTAACTTGGGCAGTGAAATGCATAATGGGTACTTGTGAATAGGAGTTATAGGAGCCTGGGGGCTAGCATGGACTTCGATATGCTGATGGCTGTGACAGGTATGTCAATGGGGAACTACGTGTCCCTTTTTGCCAGAGGTGAGGGAAGTGACTCCTTATGGTGGACAGATGGGAACCTGTTTCACAAGTACCGGAGGAATGCTGACTTTTGTCTAATCACCATGAAATCCTACAGTCCAGCTGGGGGTGAGTCAAGACTTGTCATTTCTGGAGAGATATATATCTATATAGATATAGATATAGATATATATCTATATAGATATAGATATATAGATATATATAGAGAGATATGTATATGTATATGTATATGTATATGTATATGTATATATGTATATATGTATATATGTATATATGTGCCTCCTGAAACCAACCTGATATATGTAGAAAGTAGAAATGGGGGAGAAAGAGAGGGGCAGGGGAAGCAAGAGGAGGTAATGAGTATGTGTGTGCTGCTTAGTTTCGTTCGCTCGTTTATCTGTTGTTGTTGTTGTTGCTGTCAACTGGACACAAGCCAATGGCATCTGGAAAGAGGGGCTGTCGATAGAGTTGCCTCCTTCAGATTGCCCTATGGGTGAGTCTGTGGGGCATCTATCTTCTTGACTAATGATTGATGGGGGAGTGTCCAGCCCACTGTGGGTGGTACCACCCTAAGCAGG